CCTAAATACCTTCCAATTTTAACTAATAGATTAATAAGGAGTAATATAATAAACTTCTCACTAATTAAAAAAAAAGTTAGTATATAACAAACATCAAAAAATAGTATTGTAAAATCCAAACCAAGAAACAAAAAGAAAGAAAGAAAAAACAACCTAACATAATATAATAAAAAAAATTTTAGCCACTATAATCTTTGACTTAGCATATTTCTTCTATTGTTGTCTCACAAACCATCTTTTTGTTGATAAAACTAAAATTTTCTTTTGTATTTAAGTATAAAATTATCTTATATATCAACTTTTTATGAATAAGTTTTCTTTTTGAAAAAATACAATAGATTTTAATAGCACTTTTTAAAAACTAATTAACACTTCAATGCTATATTTTAAGTGATTTATTATGTTATTTATTAAAAAATAATGATTTGCTATTTTTTAACTTTATAAATTTATATGATATCTCAAGTAGTATCTTAAAAATAATAAATAGAGTAGTATACAATCTACAAATTACTTTATGATATTATTATTATTTAATACAATTTATTAAATGTAAAATATTATTTTAGTATTTTATAACTAAAAAAATTTTGATTATATTAGATTACAAAATATAAAACCTTAAATAACAAATGAACTCTTAATACATTCCCTCGTGTAGTTCAAGTGGTCACGTTTCTTTGTGTGAGAAGTAAGGTGAAGTGCAGGACATGATCATCAAGTCAACTCTTCAATTGGTATTCAAACATATACTAACTTATTAATCATGTTTCCTTCCGTAAAAAAAAAAAATGAACTCTTAATATTGAAAGTCTTTCCTATAAAATATCTTTATTTTACAATTTAATACACTTTAAATTATAAAATAATAAACTCTTTTACTATTTATTTTTAATAATAAATTTTTAATTGTATTTTTTGAAGAAAAATATACTGCAACAACATGCATAGTGAGTTAAAATATGTTAATTTCATTTAATTTTGGGGTGGGCATTAGGTTTCTGCAAAAAAAAAAAAAAAAAAGATTGGGTTCAGGGAAATGTCGATTGCAAGACGATAAAAGGAAAGTAATATGTGGTCTCCACTAAGTTAGAACAAGTGAAAAAAAATTAAAGAATTGTGTTAACAGTTGATTAACAACATATAACGGTCAAAATAAACTGCACAAACAACACCGTCCAAATTAGGACGACATTGAATGATTGAATGGATAAAGGTGAGTAGAGGGATGACGTTGATTAGTGTTAGGGAAGTAGAGGGATGAAAATGAATAAATCCTTAGTTGAGGGATGGATATGAACAAAAAATAAAAGTATAGGGATGACAGTTGACTTTAACCCAAAATCAATTAAATTAACTTTAAATTTAAAGATATTTTTTAAATAAAATAGAACAATTTTCAACCACCTCTTTTTATCCTTATCTTTTTCTCTTTCTTCTTTTTTTTTTTGGTAAATTTTCTCTTTCTTCTTTGTTTCTCCATGTTTCATGCATTAAAAACCGGACCTACATGCTTCTCCTACCAATAATATATATATAAATATATTATATATTATAAAATATTATACTTCCATTTATACACATATGTACGTAACACATATATGAGTGAAGTCTAAGTTAGTTGTTATCGAATTGGATTTTCATATTTAATGGTTTGATTTCAAGTTTTAAATATTTGGATGAGGTGGTTGGAATTTTAAATTTTATCACCGTCATGAACTTTATAAAAAAGTAA